CAGCCGTGTCAAAGAGAATGGTCATCTCAAACCACAGACCCCTGGCTCCAGATTCGTAACACTTCTGCCCTAAAATCCTGGGGCCTGCATGAAGTTTGCTGTCCTTTTCTTTTCCGTTTTTTTTTTCCTGCCATCCAAGAAACACCAGGCTGTCCCAGCAATCCCTTTAAGAAGCAGAGACCTTGAATAGAAAACTTGGGCTCTGTGACCCAGTTTCTGGAGTTAGAGGACGTAGCTCCAAGGTTTATCTGGCCTGAGAGTCCAGACATGACCTTGATCATAACACTCTAGACCAAACTAGTATTTCCCAAAGCTGGCTCTGTCTCCCAGCTACATCAGAATCCTCAGACCCCACCTCAGCTGCACTGGACCATAATTTCCTGGGGATGGGGCCTGGGGATCTGCAATTAATCACCTTCCTAAGCCCTACCAGTTTCCTGCCCACTGTATGAACCTTTTTCCTCCTCCATTTCACTTATATGCCATCTGAGGCAGCAGGTGGGAGGCCCAGTTCCTCCTTGCCTCAGATTCCTTCTCTCCAAAATGGAGGCAAACAGGGGCAGTATCACTTCCCAGCATTTGTGGCCGGCCTGTAACATCTGTTACTCTGCCTTCAATTACAGCAGAAGAATGCTTCAGTGACAGAAACAGGAGAGAAATCCCTGTGGCCGTGGGTCTGAGTATCGCAGGACTCCTTGTCGTTTTGCTAACAGCAAGCCTGGTGGCCAGAAAGAGGCCCAGTAGAGAATATGAACGAATGTAAAGCCCCACCTTCTACAAAATGTACAAGGTTCAGGCCTTGGGGATTCTGGCTTCATATTCAGCCAGAAGGTGCCTGTCTCGTCCTCTCAAACTGATGAGGAAGCTGAGTTTTCCACCACAGGGTCTCCCAATGCTAGTGTGAGAGGCAGCCTCCACCTGCTTCCTCCTGTGCCAGACAGGCTTGGACACCATCTTCCACACCTGAATAAACAGGACTGCTTCCAGAATTAGGGCGCAAAGGAAGAAACATGAGCGGGGTGCTTGTGAGAAGGAGAAAGCAAAAACCCAAGGGGACCACACTGGGGAAGTCATTTGCAAACTGCACTGATTTTGTTTATATAGTTTTAAGAGTCTCAATATTCAGTGTTCTTTAAACAGCACTCTAGGAAAACCAACCCATTTCAAAATTCTTTATGAAGTGACCTTAAACTCCTGCATTTTATCCAAATTCTGATGTACTAAAATTATACGCAGCTTTAGTATGCTATCATTTTTTAAAGACACTCTATGCTATTGTAATATACTGTTATTAGCAAAACATTTAGAAAACTGCTTAGTGTTTTACCTTTTTAATGTAAAGCACACACCAAAGAGCTTGGCAAACAGAAGAGGCTCAATAAAGATTAGTTCTTCAATTCTTTCCACCTCATTTATTGTCTGCTTTCTTAGCACTTTTCTCTGATTTGTCCATTTTTCTTTAGTGCTATTCTTTAAAAATTTGTTGACTTGAGCCATTGCAGGAGGAGAAATAGGCAAGCAAGAAGACATAAACCTGCCCAGACTATGACCGCCTCCCATTCCACTTCTTTGAAAATATTCTCCAAAAAAACTGTAAGCCAGTAAATTCCTGATTGGGAGTGGTGGGTAACTGGAGAAAAATATTCAATTAAAATACGGCTTAGGATATCCTTCGTGGTTTTTTATTGCACTGACAGTTACATGTGAGAAATAGGGTTTTAGTTCAGCGAAAAAAGACCATAATAGGATTCCAGATATTCTTACCTGATTTACTTACAGGAAGTTTTCTACATTTTCCAAAAGTGCCACTTATTCTTTTTAACGGGAAGCTTATGAAATTTGGCAACAACTCTGTAACTGCTTATTTAGGAACTGTAATGGCTCTCCATGGAGGTATTTATCTTTCCACTTTCTTAGAAGTAAGGGGTGGGGAGGGCACTCAGCTTCAAGAGAGCCCTAAGAGCCCTGAAGACATCCAAAGAGTCAGGAAATGCCTATTTCCCCTTTAAAATGGGAGATAGAAATCTGGATATGTGGGGCCCAGTGTTCCCCAAAGTACTCAGAGTTAACAGGGCTTTGGCTTTGGAGAGATAGGATCTCTTTCCTCCTCATCCCCCAACCAAACTGCACCTGTTCCCAGCTCCCATGTGTGCACAGTTAAGGGCACCTGGAAAACTGTACAGTGCAGAGCACGAGGTTTTAATTCACCTTGCTTCCAGCCATCCTGCAAAATGACGCCAGTAAAAATAATCTTCCACAGCAGATGGAAGCACACTGAAGAATTTAACATCAAGAGCAGAGGGATAAGAAAGTTCATTTGAATTTAATTTCCCTTTCTACGAGCTTCAGCGAGTTCTTTGGGGGTGAATGGCAATTGCCTAGACTCATGATATCTACCCCCACCAACACAAATTATCCTTAAAATTAATTGGAACTAGCATCCTACTAACCACAAGGGGTAGAGATTTCATTTGAATGACCAAGAAATCAATGCTCAGCTATATTGTTTTCTCATATCTCTGTCCACTTTGTGCAGTGGAGATGGGGCAGCAGCCTGGCTGGCCTCCCAGCCCTGCATCCCTCTCTCCTACCACACATATAGCCACCCTAAGAAGTCTATGATGAGAGAGTAAAGTTTTGTGGGCTCTAACTTCCATTCTTAATCTGGAAGAAATGAGTGGATTTATCACCTTCTTCCTTTTCTCACCCAGGATGTGAAAATAGCTCTGGGGAAGATGAAGAATGAACACAGGGACTGATGGAAGTGAACTGGAATCAATGCCAAACCACAGAGTAGATCCAGGGTATAGCTAGTTCTTGGGCTGCAAAAAAAAAAAAAAAAAAAAAAAAAAAGATCAAATCCAAATATCTAGCTAAAGAGAACCATTGAGGGCTCTCAGATACAATGGCAAGAAAGACCATAATTCACCCAAATGGTCTCATAGGAAACAGTTTCTGACCTGCCACAGTCAAGCAAGACCAAAATAAAACAAACTTCATGGTCACTAGGCAAAAATACTGGGCAAAGTAACCATAAGGATGCTATGAAGTTAGACTGATGAAAGAAGGGAGGGTTTATTGGTTTGCCAGGAATACCAGAACAAAGTTTCATAGACTACATGCTTTAAATAACAGTTTATATTTTCACAGTTCTGTGTGCTAGAAATCCAAGATCAGGGTGTTGGTTTCTCCTGAGGTTTCTCTCCTTGGCTATAGATGGCTCAAGTCTCCATATAGTCTTCTCTCTGTACCTATCAATATCCAAATATCCTCTTCTTATAAGAACACTAGTCAGATTGGCTTGTGGCTCACCCTAATGACCTCGTTTTACCTTCATTCCTTAGGGACCCTCCTTCCTCATCCGGTCAAGTTCTGTGATGCTTAGGGGCTAGGACTCCAATTATGAATGGGGGAAGGAGACACTTAGCCCATAACAGATGGTTAGAAATGAGAAAAGAATAGTCAAGGAACAAAAAGAAATCCTTGATAATTGCTTTATGCTGAGAATCACTAATAAGAATGAAGTCATGTAACCACAGTTCCAAGATGAGATGTTAAATGAAAGAGTGAGCTAAACGGAGCTTTCACTCCTAGGCAAACAAATTGAACAACAAAGCTACATCACTAAATAATATACAGAAACAGTAAGAACAGAGTAGATAGTACTGACAATTATATTATTTTCATAGAATGGCTGAGACAGTCACAAATAATGCAAATAAAGCCTCATGATTTAAGCATTATAGTTAATCTACCAGATATAGAAATTTTCAGACCATCTGACATAATGATAATTGGTGCCTCTGAAGTAGAGAGCTCAAAAATGGAATGAAGATGTATTTGAAAATCTGGGGAAATTTCCTTGAGATAAATACTTGAAGTTGGGATTGAAAGAGCACAGTGTGTTACATTAAGAAAAGAATTGATACAAAAAGTTTAGTCTTGGACCATATTTGAAATTAAGTCCTATATAGGCCTATGGAAAAAAACCCAGAAAATCACCTATAAAGGGGAAGAAGTTAAAATCACCTTCATATTTCTTCACATTGGCGTTTAAAGTCAGCAAACAATGGCCCAATGTCTACAAAGTCCTAAGGGAAAGAAAGTGTGGTCCAAAATTAAAATTTAGATATGGACAATTGAAAGATATCCTCAACCATGAAATAATTCAAAGGATGCAGCACCAATAAGCCTTTCTTTTTCTTTTTGGCAGCACTGGGGTTTGAACTCAGGGCCCCACACTTGCTGGGCAGGCCCTCTTGCTTGAGCTACTCCACCAGTCCTCTTTTGTGATGGGTTTTTAGAGATAGGGTCTCATGAACTATTTGCCTGGGCTGGCTTTAAACTGCAATCTTCCTGATCTCTGCCTCCTGAGTAGCTAGAATTATAGGTGTGAGCCACCGGCGCCTAACTCCAATAAGCTTTTGTTAAAGATAATGTTTGACAATTAAAATTAGTGAGATAGGAGACATGCTACAAGGAAATAGCAAAGAACTTTCAGATAT